GGTTAGTTAATACACCTATCACCTCACATAATTACTTTTTAAATAGTGAAAATATTTAAGATCTACTCTATTAGTAACTTTTGAGTACTTAAGACAATATTGTTAACTACAGTCACCGTAGTGTACATCAGATCCCCAGAACTGAATTATCTTATAAATTATCTTATAACTGCAAGTCTGTACTTCATTTTCCCTAACCCCAAGCCTCTGGTAACTACTATTTTACTGTTTCTATGAGTTCAACTTTTTTAGATTACACATGTAGATGAAACCATACAGCATTTCTTTCTCTTATTTCACGTAGCATAACGCCCTCAAGGTCTAACCTGTTGTTGTAAGTGGTAGGATTTCATTTATTCTTTTTTTTTAAATTTTTTATTTTCAATTACATTGACATATAATGTTATATTAATTTCAGGTGTACAACAAAGTGGTTAGACATTTATAAGACTGTGATCACAATAAATCCTTTACGTATCTGATAAAATACACAATTATTACATTATTGAAAATCTTCTCTGTGCTATACTTTAAACACCCATGACTATTTTGCAATTACCAATTTGTACTTCTTATTCTTTTCTCTATTTTTACCCATCATCCCATCCCTCTCTCATCTGGCAACTATCAAAATGTTCTCTGTATCTATGATTTTGTTTCTGTTTTGACTGTTCATTTTTTGATTCCACATATAAGTAAAATCATATAGTATTTGTCTTTCTCTGACTTACTTCACAACATAATATCCTCCAGGTCCACCTATGTTGTTGCAGATGGCAAGATTTCATTTTTTTCTCATAGCTGAGTATATACCACTTCTTTATTCATTCATCTACTGATAAATACTTAGGTTGCTACCAAAACTTGGCTACTGTAAAATAATGCTTCCATGAACCTATGAATGCATGCCTTTTTGAATTAAGTGTTTTGAGTTTCTTTGGATAAATATCCAGAGAAGAATTGCAGGGTACTTCTTTCTCTCTTGTTATAGCCTTTGTTTTAAAGTCTATTTTATCTGGTACAAGTATTGCTACCCTAGCTTTTTTTTCACTTCCATATTCATAAAATATCTTTTTCCATCACTTTACTTTCAGTCTGGGTGTGTCTTTTAATCTGAAGTGGGTCTCTTTGTAGGCAGTATATGTAGGGGGCCTTGTTTTCTTATCTCTCCAGCCATCGTGTCTTTTGATTAAAGAATTTAATCCACTTACGTTTAAAGTAACTGTTGATAGATATGTAGTTATTACCATTTTATTACTTATATTTAATTTTTTTTCTTCTTCTTAAAAAAAGTCCCTTTAACATTTCTTGTAATACTGGCTTAGTGGTGATGAACTCCTTTAGCTTTTTCTTGTCTGTGAAGCTCTTTATCTGTCCTTTGAATCAAAAAGACAGCTTTGCTAAGTAGATTAATATTGGTTTTGGGCCTTGCTTTTTATCATTGAATATTTCATGCCAATCCCTTCTGGCCTCCAAAGTTTCTGTTGAGAAATCAGCTGACAGTCATATGGGAGCTCCTTTGTAGGTAACTGCCTTTCTCTTGGTGCTTTTAAGATTCTCTCTTTGTCTTTAACCTTTGGCATTTAAATGATGATGTGTCTTGGTGTGGGCCTTTCTGGATTCTTGTTTGGGACTCTGCACTTCCAGGGCTGGCATGTCTATTTTCTTCTCCAGGTGAAGAAAGTTTTCCATCACTATTTCTTCAAATAGGTTTTCGATTCCTTGCTCACTCTCTTCTCCTGTTACCCCTACGATACAAATGTTGGTACACTTGATGTCCCACAGGCCCCTTAAACTATCATTTTTTTGGATTCATTTTTCTTTTTGCTGTTCGAAATGGGTGTTTTCTGCTATCTTTTCTACTAAATAGCTGATTCGATCCTCTGCTTTACCTAATCTGCTGTTGATTCCTTCTACTGTGTTCTTCATTTCAGTTATTGTAGTCATCATTTCTGACTGGTTCTTTCTTATATTGTTTATCTTCATTTTTATGTTTCCTATTACTTTGTTGAAATTCTCACTGAGATCTATGAACATCCTTTTAACCAGTGTTTTGAACTCTGCATCTGGTAGACTGCTTGTTTAGTTTCAATTTGTTTAGATTTTTTTCTGCAGTTTTATTGTTCTTTCACTTGGGACATGTTTATCTCATCATTTTATCTGCCTCCCTGTGTTTGTATCTATGTATATGGTAGAGCCACTATGTGTGTCTCTTGGTCTTGGTAGAGTGGCCTGATGTAGTAGGTGTCCTGTGGGGCCCAGTGGAGTAGTTTCCCTGGTCACCTGAGCCAGGTGTTCCAGATGTGTCCCTTGTATGGGCTGTGTATGCCCTCCTGTTGCAGTTGAGCCTTGGTCAGTGGGTGGGAGAGGCCGTTGAGATGATTGGCTGTGAGGATTGGCCATGGCTACAGTGGAGGAGCTGTTGTACAGGGTCTGACCCTAAAGAGCAGGATTTGCTTTAGTGGGGCTGTGGTGCCTGTCCAATCTGCTCTTTGGGTATGCTGTCTGTGGAGGTGGTTGAGTGGTACTCTGATATGGTCTGAAGCTGGGACCTCTTAGGAGGAGCTCTGGTGCAGGCTATGGTCAGTGATTGCCTATGCTGCGCTCAGGCCATTTGATGGGGACTACAAAGTGATCTGTAGATGGCTGCTACTTGTGCAGGGCTTGGAAATGACTGGGAGAGGCCCAGCTAGGAACTGAGACTGGCTGCCGCTAGTGTCGGGCTCGGGACTCCTTAGGAAGTGGTATGGGGCACAGCGAGGCCAGATGTTGCTTGTTTGGGGTTTGTGAACCTTTGAGATATTTTAGGGAAGTCCAGAGCATGAGCCAAGACAGGCCATCTGTATGGAAAAGCCACTGGAAATAGCTTGGGTGGGCCCACAAATTGGATGGGGCAGGGTCTCAGGGAATCATGAGGGTGGCTGAATGGTGTTAGCCAGGTTAATGGAGACTTGGATATAGAGCCCACCTGTGAGTGTAGGCTGGGTGGAGGAGGGCTCAACAAAGGAACAATGGCTTCTGCTAGCACTTCTCTCTAGAAGAAAGCTGTCCCTCCAGATCTCATCCCAGAGCCAAACAATTCAGTGCCTCCCAGTATGTCTCTGGCATCTTTCTAGCTGCTGTTTTACCACTGGAGCTCAGAGCAAATTAAGTCCATGTGTGGGCCTTTCAAGAGGAGCACCTGGGACTCTAGCAGCCTTCGGTCTCACTCAGGCACAATCTCTACTGGTTTTTTACAGCCAGAGGTTATGGGGACTTCTCTTCCCAGCACTGGAACCTTGGGCTAGAAAGCCTGGTATGGGGTTGGAATTCCTTGCTCCTCAAGGGGATTGAGATATCCCTCCCAATTTTTAACCACCGTATGTGTGTGGGACCTGTCCTGTTCCACTTTTCCACTCCTTCTACCAGTTTCCACGTGGCTTCTTCTGTATATCCTTAGTTACAGGAGTTCTGTTCAGGTAGACTGCAGGATGTTCTCAATGATGGTTGTTCTGTAGTTTAGTTGTAATTTTGATGTGGTAATGGGAAGAGGTAAGCACAGTATTACCTACTTCACTATCCTAACTATAAGCCAGGATTTCATTTTTTTATGGCTGAATTATGTATGTGTCTCATGTTTTCTTGATCCATTCATCTATCAATGAACACTTAGGCTATTTCCATGTCTTGGCTATTGTGAGTAATGCTGAAATGAACATGGGGGTGCAGCTATCTCTTCAAGGTAGTGATTTCACTTCCTTTGAAGATATACCCAGAGGTGGGATTGTTGGATCATATGGTAGTTCTATTTTTAATTCTTTGAGGAACCTCTATACTGATTTCCATAGTGACTGTATCAATTTACATTCCTACCAAAAGTGAACAAGGCTTTCCTTTTTTCTACATCCTCACTGACTAGTTATCTTGTGTCTTTTTGATAATAGCCATCTGAACAAATGTAAGGTGCTATCTCTTTGTGGTTATAATTTGTACTTCCTTGAGAAGTGATATTGAGCACCTTTTCAGGTATCTGTTGGCCAATTGTATGTTTTCTTTGGAATAATGTTTATTCAGTTCCTTTGTCCATTTTTAATTAGAATGATTGTTTTGTGCGGGGGTGGGGTGGGGTGGGGGAGCTATTGAGTTATATAAGTTCCTTATATAGTCTGGATTTTATCCCACAAATTCAATTTCTTTAATAGACTAGCATTATTCAGGTTATCTATTTCTTCTTGAGGGAGTATTGGTAATTTACGTCTTTCAAGGAATTTCTCCATTTCATCCAAGCTGTTGAATTTATTAGCATAAAACTGTTCATAATATTCCCTTATTATCATTTTAATTACTATGGTTATATAATTATATATCCTCTCTTTCAATCCTGGTATTGGTAATTCATGTCTAATCTCTTTTTTCCACCTCAATTATTCTGGCTAGAGATTTATCAATTTAATTGATCTTTTCAAAGAGCATTTAATTTTTGATTTTTCCCTATTATCTACCTGTTTCCTATGTATCTGATAGTTACTTTTATCTTTATTATTTCCTTTCTGCTTTCTTTGTGTTTAATTTACTAATTTTCTCATTTCTTTAGACTGAGAGCTTTCTTCTTGTCTAATATGAACATTTAATGCTATAAATTTCCCTCTAAGAACTGCTTTAGCAGTATCCTGCAAATACTATGTTGTATTTTCATTTGAATTCAGTACAAAATATTTTCTAACTTCTCTTTTGATTTCTTCTTCGACTAATGGGTATGTCTTCTTTGACTTAGAAGTATGTTGTTTAATTCCTAAATATTGTGGGATTTTCTACATATCTTTCTGTTATTGATTTCTTGTTTAATTCCTTTGTAGTTAGAAAGCAGACTGCATGATTTAAATCCTTTAAAATTCATTTAAATTTTTATGGCCTAGAATTTACATGCCAAATATTCCACGAACATGCCGAAAAGAATCTGTATTCTGCTGTTACTGGATGCACTGTTTTATAAATGTCATTGAGGTTCTTGATGAACTGACCTTTTATTATACAAAAGGTTCTTCTTTGTGCCTGGTAGTATTCCTCGTTTTGAAGTTTACTCTGACTTGTAGTAATAAAGCCATTCCAGCTTACTTTGATAGTGTCTGCATGGTATATCTTTTCCATCCTTTTAACTGATGTCTTTATATTTAAAGTAGGCTTCTTATAGTACAAGCTGACCCTTGAACGATGCTGGGGTTAGGGGCGACGACTGCTTGCAGAGTTGAAAATCCATATATGACTTGTTAGCCCTCTGCATACACAGATTCTCAACTGCCAGTTGATTCTTGAACAACACTAGTTTGAACTGCATGGGTCGAATGAACTGCGGTCAAGTAAAAAAAATCTGTATTAAGAGTATTTCAAACCTGCACTGTTCAGAAGTCAACTGTATATAATTGGGTTCTACCTTATTAGCCAATCTGACAGTGTCTGTGTTCTAACTAGACTATTTAAACCACTTATGTTTAATGTAATTATTAACATGAGCTGGTTTAAATCTACCATCTTGCTATTTGTCTTCTATTTGTACAATTGATTCTTTCTTCCTTGTTTCCCCTTATCCTGAGTTCTCTTGTATTCAGTTATTTTTTAGTTTGTTTTCTATAGATTGTGTTTTCTTCTGATTATGGGTCAAGTTTTTCTGCTTCTTTGCATGCTTGATAATTATTGATTGGATGTCAGACACTTATTTTTACACTGCTAGATGATGAATTTTATTGTTCCTTTAAAGAGGGTTGGCCTTTGTTCTAGCATGCAGTTTTTACTTATAGAGCAGTTTGGTCCTTTTAAAAGCTGCTTTTAAGCTTAGTAAAGGTGCTTTACTCTAGGGCTAATTTAGCTCCAATAGTAAGGTATGTTTCCGAGGATACTACCCAATGCCTTGTGTGTTACAGGATCTGTCCACAATGGTCAGTAGGAAATTGAATTATTCCTAGACTCATGTTCCAAAAATTGTTCAGCCTACTCATTTCTGGTATTTTTTTCCCCTGGCCATGGACATTTTCATCCAACACATGTACTTACTTGGCCATGGACTTGAAGGGGCCTCTCTAAATATCGCTGAACCTCTCTGTTTATGCAGCTCCTTTTTCTGGCATGCTGTTCTATGACTTCTAGCCACCTTGGGCTCTCTAAACTTCGATTTCTTACTCATCAATTAAGCAAGACTATGAACTCTGTTAGGTTTCCTCCTCCCTGTGCTTTGGAAACTGCTTCTGGGCAGTGAGCTATGGATCACCTCCGTGTTACCCTTTTTTAAAAGATTAAAGCCTTCTACTGCCTGTTGCCCAATATCTGGAAATAGTTGTTTTATTCAGTTTGTCAGTTTTCTAGTTGTTTATGATAAGAGAGACATTCCTATAGTAGTTAATCCTTCAAAGGCAGAAGCAGAAGTCCTCTTATATCTTTTTGGTTTTATATATATGAATCTAATTCTTTTCTGTTTTAAACAAGCTAGATCAAAACATAAGTCATTCTTACCTTTGTAGACTTCTCTAACGGTTGATCATATTGTGCCTGCTGCATAACATCACTGACTATCATTTTAGCAATCTTCCATGCTAGCTCTTCTTGGGCCTAAAAGAAGTAATTCAAACTTTTGATAACAGTTAGAAGAATCAAGACATACGTTTTCAGTGTTCTAAACACAACTGTGTATGCATATAATTTCTACTTATTTGGATAAGAAGCACAATGCCATGTTTCAAAGAACCTGGGCTATCCTCTGGCTATGATATATTAACATGCCATTCATTGTTTTCCATGGTCATCTACTGAGCATCCAATATTATGACAATTTTCAAGTTAGATGACCCAAACAAAACATTTTTATTTTTCCACTCCATCTCTCAATGTACTTGATTAATATTCAAAGAGCAAGCCTCCATTTCTTAAAGTAAAAATGACAGTGAGAAAGGAAACTTTTGAGCTTTTGTTTCTATACTGACACCAATGCTTCCTGGTCGATGGAAATTGCATGGATATATTGCAGGGGCCAGAGTCTCTGGACCGAAGATATCTCCACTGCCTCTCTACTAAGGCTTAGAAGGGCCCGCCCTTTGTTATACCCAGGATAAGGGAGCAATAATGTGCCATGCTGCTTCAACATGGGAACTAAAGAAAGAGGAAACATGAAACCTTAGTTAAACAAGGTGACACTAACAAAAAGGAGTCTCTTTACATTAAAAGTAGAATTTACCTCATCAGTATTTCCTTGAACCCATTTCTTCATAGCTTGTGAAAACATGGATCCTAGTAAAAAAGCCAAAGTTGAATGTAGATTTTATGCATAATTTTACATGAAAATTGCTCTTACTTAAAAGCTATTTCTAGATACGAATATTTTTTTTTGTATAATCTTCCCTAAAACATTAAGAAATATTATCATTAATTAATAGAAACTGATTATTTTGTTTCTATAACAGAATATTTAACTAACAAACATCATGCTTTGAAAAACCTTTGAAAAGCTGTTTCAGAGTTCTGGATTTTTCTTCTACTGTCCTTACCTGATAAAAGAAAACTATTATCGAGTGTTAGATTTGCAGCAAACTAAAAGAGCAAAACAAAAACCATGACCTGGATTTAATTTTGGGTAAGAATCTAGGAATACATCAGAAATTATCAATCTACTTGTTATGTATCCAAACCTTCCAGAACAGCTCCGATACAAAAGGGCTTCGAGTATAGATTGCACTGCTACATGCTATATAAATTAGCTGGGTGAGAGCAGAGTTTTAAATAGCCATACTCCATCCTAGCCATAGTCTACCTCAACTTCCTAGGAGAAACATAAGCCTGTCTACAACTGTACTCAGAAGCTGAGGAATCACCAAGGACATACACTAGTCTCTATTTCCATGAATGAAATACACAACTTAGCCTTTCATTAATACAAATAGGCTCATAGCCTAATTTTGCCTTGACTCAAATGGATGGTAAATTATTTGTTAGGCAAAGTCCTGATTAATTCAATCACTGGGATAGAACTATACATAGCATAGATGATAAATACAAAACCTAGATCCTTTTTCCTTAATAATTTTTATTTTTAGTTAAAGTTTGAATAATGGCCTAGTTAAACTTTATGGTCAAGCAGAGTTGACAGGGCCACATTAGAGACTCATTTGAGACTTTAGGCAAAGGATGTAATGTTGTGGCCCTGTCAACTCTGCTTGACCATAAATGAATTACCTAATGCACTGCTCTCCCTTCGTGCCCACCGGCAGAGTCACACTGTTGACAATCTCCTACTTGCTAACACTCTCTTTTTTTTTAATACCTAGATTTTGTCTTTCCGTTTGTTTTAACACTCACATCTTTGACTCCTCCCACCTCCTTTAACATGGGGCTTCTCCAGGATCCCATTCCCGGCCTTCTTTTCTCCTTCAACACAATCTCTTTGGGGGCATCTCATCCCCTCTTGTGGCTTTAACTTCCTTCAAAATGCAAATAACTAAAAAAAAAACCTCACCCTTAGGTATCAAACCCATACTTATAAGTTATCCTAAAGGCAACTCAAACTTAGCATGTTCCAAATGGAGCTCTTCTGTCTCCCATCTTATCCTCTATCCTATATCTTCTTATATCCTCTATCTCAGAAATTAATTTAATCCTCTATTAAAAATCAACAATTTTTCATCCAGAGAATCCATGTTTAAAAAATTCAGACTATCTTCATTTACTTTCCACATGAAATCTGTCACCAAATTCCACTCTTGAATTCCTCCTTGGAAGTCATAAATCTGACCCTCTTTCTAATTCCTGCTACCACTACCTATCTTCAAATCCTCTTTTTCCTCTATCTATATTACTAGCTAATCCTATTACCTGACTGGTTTCATTCATACCAGTCTCTAACTCCAATTCATTCTTATACTACTACCAGAAAAATGCTTCTAGTCAGTATTCTGCTTAGATATCCCTGATGACTATATGACACGAATCCAGGCTTCTTAATATGACATGCAAGTGTTTTCACAATGTTAAGTACAGCTTCATTTCCACCACTCCATCCAGGCACCAGGAATTGCCACTATAGGGACCACATGCTCACAACACCCTTTATAATTCCTTCTTGTTACATGTTCGCCTAGATGATTTGAATGTAACTTCTAAAATTACCTTGCTTGCCCTGAAAACAATGTTCTCATTCTCTCAGAAGCCCTGAGATACACCCTTCTTAAAACTCAACCCTTTCCTCTGTGCTCTATTATCAGGGTTTTAAAATCCAAATTGAAACTATAGGCTGATAAATGATGGAATATTCTTTGCAGCTGCCCTCAGCAAGGAAGGAGAGGAAGGGAGAAGTGGAGCTAAACTGCAAACAACTGTTGTCAAAATGGTATTCTGAACCAAAGGCCTGGGTGTTGCCATTAATCTGCCATGTGATCCCTAACAAGTTACAATTTCCCTCATCCTCAAATTCTTCATTTGTAGAATAAGGAGGTGGTATCCACAGATGTATCATCTCAGATTTGCATGAGATTGACATTGCTAAAGAAACCTCCATTATTTGGGGTCTAGGAAGGAGAAAGTGGGGCTCTTGAGTATCCTCAGAGGAATTTAGTGTTTGTGTCATTTTGAAAAATTATTGTCTTCTTAAATAAAATATGACCGATAATCTTACCAACCAGATGATCTCTACTGAAATTTTTCTAGATTAATTAATTAATTCAATCAACAAACATGTTAATGAGTCACTACCATGTGCCAGGCATAATTTTAGAATCAGGGAATATAGTGTCAAATAAAACAGACAAAATCCCCACTCTCAGAAAGGTAATGTTCTAGTCATGAAAGATAGACTAAAAAACAAGTATGCAAATAAATGAACAAGGTAATTTCAGACAGTGAATAAGAAAAGAAATGGTATGTTAGTAGTACAGATGATTTTAGATCACGTGGGCTGGGAAGTCCTCTCTGAAGAGAGAATATTTGCAATGAAAAGGAGCCAGTTGTTACATGAAAGCCACGGCAAGACTGTCATGGCAGGGGAAACAGCAACTGTAGAGGCCCTAAAAAGGAAAGAGTATCAGAAAAAGATGAAAGGAGAGTCCAATTAGAGCTTCTTAGTCCATGAAAGGAAGAGTGGTTCAAGGTAAAACTGCAGAGATGGACAGGGGGCATCATTCAAAGATCACAGCAAAGAGATAGGAAGCCACAGGGGAAGAGATGAATGGGTGATTAAGAAGTAAAACATACAGGATAAGAAAATTCAAAAAGCAAATGAAAAGGGTATAATGAAAAGTAAAAGGTATCTCTCTCTTCTCATCCCTAATGTGTTACATTTGTGTATCCTTCCAGGCTATATATGTGTATATACTTTTAAAAACACCATATACAACATCACCTAGATGTATTCTAATCAAAAAGTATAACTCAAATCATCAAGACCTTAGGTACAACTTCCTATTTACAAGAAATATAGAGGAAAAAGGAATAACTAAATAACCCAATAAACAACCAGGAAAATCCAAATAGCTAGGCATTTTATAGGATAGTGTGATAGGCTTACCAAGTCGGGGTCATATAAAAGGGAGTAAGCTAGATTAAAATAAACTCAGACTATACCCTCTTATTTGTATCCTCGGCATCTAGCACAGTGTCCAGCACACAGGAATCACTCAAATGCCTTCTGAGTGAACGAAATGAATCTGTAGGCTTCTATATTACATCATTCCCTTAACAAAAAAAATACATGACTTAAAGAGACATTTGAACAACTAAAGAAAGCATCAGGATATATGGATCGGTTTACTCGAATTGCAGAAATGACTATTCATTACTTTATGTAGGCATGTGTCAAATTAATGATGCAAGAAACTTGATGGAAAGGCTTGCTGGCAGAGATACAATCCTGTAGCCTCTACCTTCGAATATAACCCAAATATGACCACTCTTCCACTATCTAATCCACAACCACCATCATCATCCCTTACATAGACCACGGCAAGAATGCTGTTTCCCTGTTTCTCCACTTAAACCCCTACACTCTTATTTTCCAAACGGCTGTTATAGCCATTCCTTTAAAACAGATCATATCATATTATTCCCCTGCTCCAACTTGTAATGTGTCCCCAACACTCTAAGCCCCTATGATAGTTTGTGGTAAGCCTCCGAACCTCATTCATCTTCTACCACTTACCCCTTTCCTCACTCCTCTTCGGCTACACTGGTCTTGCTGTTCCTTGATTCCTTGATTACGCCAAGCTCTTAAGCTTCAGAGCCTTTATTCTTGTCCCTTCCGCAAAGAATGCCCTTCCTCCAGAAATTGCTCCATTTGCTCAGGTCTCTACTCAAAAAACTACTTCCTCAGTGAGACCTTTCCTGACAACAAATGCTAAAATAGCATTCCTCACACTCTTCCACTTACTTACTCTGCTTGTATGTTTATGTATAAATATATAAAATATATAAGCACATGCACATACACTGTATTTGTTTATCTATTTATGGGTCTCCTCCATGATAACGTAAGCTCCCTGAGAGCAGGAATTTTATTTTCTTCCCAATACTTAGAGTGGTAGATGCATATAGTAGGCACTCATATTTTAGAATGAATGAATAAATGAATAATATGAAGAGACTGAATGAACAGAATGAATATAAATCATGGTTTGGGGAGAAATTTCTTATATATCTTTAACTACTCATAATATACTTCAATTCACATAAAAAAAAAAGAAACTGCAAACATATAACACCTATACTCTGGAGCATTAATACTTCTTCATGAGCTGTCAGAAAATAAGACATGCTTAAAAAAAAAAAAACAAAAAAAAAAAAAACAAAAAAAACCCAGCTCAGGGAGTCTATTATTACTAGAAACCCTATTACCCCCACTGACAGAAGCTACTGTACAATGTAGAAATTTTCCTGGCCAATCCCTCACAGAGGTTGCTTAGCACTTCCTCTGCTCCAAGGTCATCAGTGACTTCTTTTATCCAAGGAAAGACACTACTATACTGTAAATTTCTTAATGACAGGATCTGTATCTTCCAAACGGCCCAGAGAATATGAGTACACAGAAGCACTCAGTTATTTACTAAATGAACTGTGTACACTTCCTTCAGTCTTAATATTTTTCCCAACTGTGTACCTCTGACTTCTCTGGCAAAACAAGAAATAAAATCAATTATTTGGATAAACTAATAAAATTAAATAGGTAGCATCCTTTTTTGGTCTAAATTATTTTAATAATTGTACATTCTGCATACTCTGTAAATGTATATCTAACCCAAAAAGAGACTATTCATCAACCAAAGTGTTACAATTCTTTACCCAAACAACAGTTGTCTTAAAAAATAAGATAAACATAATAGGAATGTAGTCCTATTAAACTAGTAAATTAGGAAAATTAGTAATAGCTCTTAATATTAAACACACTTATCAAAACGAAGCATTTTCTTCTTATAAAAGCTAGTATCTTTTACTCAATATTGTCAATCCAATCACCCTGAAAAATTTCTAGTTATCATCTGAATAAATCTACATTGATTTCCAAAATCTTCCTGCGTAAACCAACTGTTTGGAAGCTGAAATTAGTCATAAAAAAATGCACTCATGAAAAAGGATTTGTGTTTAACTCTTGACATTTGACCAAGCACTCTTCTGCTGTTTAAACAAAGGATCTGTATTTCAACCGTTAATATTTTCCACATATATTTCATAACAACTTTTAGTGATTCAGAGGAAATTTAACAAAAATAAAGGGTCGCAAGATAAACCTCAAGTCCAACCTGGATTGAGTATTCCCCCATTAAACAAAAAGGTGATGAATATTTTTTCATATATATGTGTCTTCTGAATGGTCAAGCAAGTTCAATAACTTCTGATTCAGAGAGAGACTGTATAGAGATGTGATTGCATGAAGCCCTTGTACTCCTTTCTGACTATAAATAAATATAAGGCGAAAGATATGGCAGTTATTTCATAAAATAAAGTTTAAATCTTAAAAGATCCTTCACTTACATACAGTCAATAACTATTGTGAGTAAAGGCTTAATATGAAGTATAAAAACACCACAAACCTTTTGATTTCTTTACATCAGGTTCAGGCTCAGATTCTCGGATGAACTGCCCCAAGTCACTGACTCTTCCAAATGTCATCTTCCTAAGTAAATATAAAAAAGAATATTTTCTAACACCCCATTTTAAATTAAGAAGAAAAAAAACCAGTTTTTAACCATCTCAACTAAATCTAGAAATCCAATTTATAGCCATCCCATGTTATTAAAAATGGGGTTTATTTAAAATAGAACCATCTCCCACAGAAAGCAAATTAATCGTTAATTCAATGCAATTCCACTCAAAATCCCAAAAAGGTTTATGAAACATGACAAGTTAAGAGGTAATTCACAATTCTAAAATTCAAATAGAAGAGAAAAGGCACAAGAATAGCTAAGATAATTTTATAAAGAAAGGACTAAAAGGTAGGATAAAATATATTAGAAAGCTAGAGTAATTATATACAATAATTACATGTTATAAAGCTATAGTAATATAAAGCAAAGTTAAAAGAAAAAACACAGTGAAAGGTCTTATTTTTAACAGCTATTACTAACCAATAATTAATATCCAGAAATACATCAAATTCTAACAAGTCATTAAGAAATTACCCAAAAGAAAAATGTGAAAAGGAGATCAATAATCAATTCATAGAAGAACCTCAACAACCATCAAACATGCCAAAAGGAGCTCTATCTCATGAACATAATTCAAGATTGGTAAAAAAAAAAAAAAAAAAATTTAAAAGTTTGATATTATTTAATATTGACAAGGATGTGTGGAAAATTAATGACAGATAAGAATGTAAAATGTGCAAATATTTTTAAAGGTAAATTGATAAGATCTATTAGAATTTAAAATCTGCTTCTTGTTACAAGGAAGTATATTTTAAAAAGTTCTTTGCTATACTGTGGATAACAATGAAAAATTGAAAACAACTTAAATACTCATTAATTCCAAAATGATCAAATAGAGACACAACACACTATGGAATATTTTGCCACAGTTATGAGCTATAATTAATATTAGATATATAGACTACTACAATATAGTTAAAATAACGTAACTCTGTAGACTAAAAGAAAAATCTACAAAACTCATTATGAATGGAAATCCAAGATACAGAATAAAGGGTTATATCAATTACATAAAAATAAGCAAACAAAAATATACACCATACCATAACTCATCCTGAGTAAGGAAGGAAAGAAATTAAAGCACTGATGTGTGATCAAAGAGGACATTAGCCTTACCTGTAAATTTAATTTTTTATAAGAGTTTAATGTATTCATAATTAAAAATTAGTTAAAAAAAGAAAAATTTTGTGATGCCTGTGTATTATTTCATTTCAGGAAAAATGGATCTTATTTTAGAGATATCCTTCCTAATAAGTCATCATTTCATATATAGGTCCTATATGCCAACTGATAGAAAACTTGTTTGCCTTGAGAAAAATTTCAGAAAGATGCTAAAACCATAAAGTTAAAACACTTAAACTATCTTTAAAGATGGAGAACATCCTCTATTTATGATCCATTTTAAAATTATTTTTTTTAATGTGTATTTATTTTACACATTCCAAAAGAAACTAAGTAAAATATCTTGCAATTGATAGACTTTCTTAAGTAAGGTTTTAAATACATGAACCAACCATTCCTTAAGAATAAATATAATCTTTGGGAATTAACTCATTTAGGCGTACTGTCCACCATTTCCTAAAAGAAATAAAGATTATTACAACCTGACACAGCTGAAGTGTGCATTCCAAAATAATGTGGTCAAATAACCTTTATTTACTTCAAAGTACCTTTCAGACTCCTTAATCTTCCAAATATCACTGTTACTTTCTGCTAAAAGCAATTAAACATGTTGAAATCCCTTTTTTTATAGGGGACTGGGTTTGGGGTGAAGTAATTAAGCCTTTACATGGGATTATGTGTTAATCAAGCCACCTTTAGGGAAGAGGAAGTGATTTTATAACTTGATTTGTGGTAAAATTCAATAAGTGGAATATCCTGTGAATCACTGTCTTTTTGTTATAGGATAAAATAAACCACCACAGTAATTCTTAAATACAAAGGAGTAATTTTATTCCATAGTCTAAGTATTAGTTATATAGTCCATAATAAATGATGTTGGCATCTCTGTATTTTTATTTTTGCTTTTAAGACAAGAACTTTGAAATAGCTAACATATGAATCAAATGAAATATGGAAGACAGCCCAAAACATACTATATAAATGACACTCATCACTCTTGTATATGGTGATGGAATGATAATGGTAATATTTATGAAGTGCTTATTAGATACCAGGCAATGTTTTAAATGCTTTTATGTGTTATCTCATTTAATACCCTCAACAACTCAATGAAGTAGTAATATCCTCATTTTTTAGATAAAAAAACTGAGACACAAAGAGGTTAAGTAGCTTGCCAATAAATGGTTGAGCCGAGATTAAAACTCAGTAAGTCATTCCTGAGCCTTCACTGTTAATCATGTTCTACTGTGTACTATATGTAAAAGTACTGGGCATGTAATTATAGATTAGAAACAATTATCAAATGTTTAATTAAAAGATAAAAAGATGCAAAATTCTTTACTCTTGTAAAAATTCAAGACGTGTGCCAAACTTACCCTGCATATGTCCTTTGATATAAAGATTCTGGATCCAGACTTGCAGCATCCACAATTATTGCTTCATCAAAATTTTTCAGAATTTTAACACTGGCTTTTTTCACACTGGACTACAACAGAAATTGTAAAATTAATAGTATATTATTGAGGAATCAAATCAGTCTTGGGTTTGGAATATGACAGATTTGTACAAAAACTTCAGTGTTTAAATATTAAACAATATTAAAATTTACATTTGGCATTCATATGCCAAATCTGTTTTTCTTAATAAGCTAAGTTCTAAAAAATATGCTGTCTTCACAGCATTATGTTCCCAGGTGTGCAAAATTCCAGGCATATGTATCTTGGCTAACAATGTAAAGCCCAACTTTTACAAGATAAAATGAATGCTTTTAATTCTCAGTGAGGCCATGTGACAAAAGAAAAGCTAAAAAAAACTTTCTAAAATGACCAGCTAGATGAGTGTAATAAGTTCCCCTCCAGTATTCTACCTCCCACTCCTCACTTCTACAAAAAAGCAAGTCAGAATTCATATTTCTATGAAATAGAGGCATAGGTTGATCTAGAAATTTCACTTCTAAAAATTCAACTACAGACTCACACGTGATATGACTTGTATATATACAAGATTATTCACTGCAATATTGTTTAAAATAACAAAAGACAGGAATATGCTTAAAGCCCATAATTAAAGTATAGGTTAAATTAATAAAATAAATAACTGAACAGACATTTAAAGAACACTCTATAGGGTGGGAGTACCCAGAAGGGGTATTAAGTAAAAACAAAGAGGCACCAAAACAGACAGACTACTTCTACGAGGCCATATCTACTCAGATTCCAAAACCAAACATCATAAGAAAAAACAAACAAACAAAACTTCAGACTAGTACTTCTTGAGCACTGATGCAAAATCCTCAACAACATATTAGCAAACCAAATCTAGCAACATATAAAAATAATTATACACCACAACTAAGTGGGGTTTAACCCAAAAATGAATAGTTGGTTTAATATCTGAGAATTAATTACTGTAGTATGACATATCAATAAAGTAAAAACCAAAAGCCTATATATAGCTCAACTGATAAAGAACATATGACAAAACAACACAATTTCCTTATAAAAAAATTCAACAAATTAGGAATAGTAGGGAACTTCCTCTACTTGATAACGAGCATTTATGAAAAACCCACACCTAATACTGTACTAAATGATGAAAAACTGAAAGCTTTCCCCTGAGATCAGGAGTAAGACAAAGACACCCATTTTCACCACTTCTATTCAATACTGCGCTAGAAATTCTAGACAGAGCAATTGGGCAAGGAAAGGAAATAAAAGGCATCCAAAGTTGGATAGGAAGAAAAAAAATTATTCCTGTTCTCAAATAATATAATTTTATATAAAGAAAATTCTAAAGAACCCACAAGAAAACTATTAGACCTAACAAATGAATTTAGTAAAGTCAACAGTAGAAGAGCAACACATAAAAAGCAGTTCTATTTCTATGCACTATCAATGATGAATCAAAAGATGAAATTATATATAATCAATGTTTCATAATGTTTTTAGAATAGGAGGATATGTAAGGTTTGCTCTCCCAGACCTCAAAAAAAAAAAAAAAAAAAAGAAGAAAAAAAGAAAAAATAAACATCAAAAACATTTCTCAAAAGGAAGAATTTGATTCAATTCAAGATTGTAAGAAGTGATAGTTTAAAGAGAAAGTTTTAAGAAAAATATTTACAGTTCAGCAAAAACAACATAAGCACAAAAGCTGAACTGCAAAACTTCAACTGCCTAGTCCTGATTAACTCTTAGGAAGAAAGTCTTCATTAAGGACCCTCTGAAATAAATAAATATAATATAAACGCAACTTAAAGTCACCCAGGGTCTTGATATTTAAAAATAAAAAAAACTTTACAGAATGTTTAAATTGAAAAAGTGGGCAGATATGATATATCTTAGAAATAAAATCTGTCGAATGAAAAAATTAAAAAAAATTCTATTTGTAATAGCATCAAAAAGAATAAAATGCTTAGAAATAAATTGACCCAAGAAGGTATAAAATTTGTATACGGAAAACTACAAAATGTTGCTAAAAGAAATTAAAGACAGCCGAGACAGAATGTTGTTCCATGTTCATGGTGGTGATGACTGCACACTCTGAATATACAAAATGTTATTGAAGTGTACACTTTATAATGGTTAAGTTTAAGTGAATTTTACTTCAATAAAAAAATTACTTGTATTTTTATAAACTACAATAAACAATTTAAATATGAAATTAAGAGAATAATTCCATCTAAAATAGCATCAAAAGAATATTTAGAAATAAATTTAAGAAATACAAAACTTATACTTGAAAACTATAAAATATTGAAAGAAATTAAAGATCTGAAGAAATGAAAGGCAACCCATGTTTGTGAATCAGAAGATTTAACACTGTTAAGATGGCAATACTCCCAAATTGATTTAGTCAATGCAAACCCTCAGAATCCTGACTGGTTTCTTCGTAGAAACTGACAAGCTGATTCTAAAATTCATATGGAAACTCAAGGGACCTCGAATTGTCAAAACAATCTTGAAAAAGAAGAACTAAGCTGGACTTTCACTTCCTGATTTCAAAAGTTATTACAAAGCAACAGTAATTGAGTTACACAGAGTTATCATTTGACCTAGAAATTCTATACCTAGGTATATAAACAAGAGAAATGAAAATATATATCCACACAAAAACTTATCCAGTAGCATTATTCATAATAGCCAAGGGTAGAAACAACCCAAATGTCCACCAACTGATGGATAAACAAAATGTAGCGTGTTTGCACAATGGAAGATTATTTGGCCATAAAAAGAAATAAAGTTCTGATACATGCTAAAAATGGATGAACCTTGAAAAGACTATGCTAAGTGAAAGAAGCTAGTAACAGAAGACCACATATCATATGGTTCCATTTATATGGAATGTCCAGAATAAGCAAATCAACAGACAGAAAGGAGATTAGCTATAGCCTAGGGCTGGAGGAATGGAAGATTTGAAGAGGACAGTTAAAGGATAAAGAACGGGTTTCTTTCTTGGGTGGGGGGAAAAAAATGTTCTAAGGATTGTGGTGATAGTTAAGCAACTCCATGAATATATTATAAACACCACTGAACTATACAATGTAAGTGGGTGAATTGTATGGTTTATGAATTATATCCCAATAAAGCTGCACCAAAAAAAAAAAAATAATAATACAGTGTGATTTCAGTTATAAAATGACAAGAACAGGTAACACTAATCTATGCTATCAAAAGTCAGGATAACAGCGACTCTGGCAAGGAAGAGGCTAGTGACTGAAAGGGGACATGAGAGTTTCTGACATATGGATAAGGTTCTGTTTCTTGATCTGGATGCTGGTTACACGGGTTAGTTCTGTTTATGAGAAGTCTTCAAGCTATTGACAGTTATAATATATTGAGTTTTCTGTATGCATATTATTTCAACCAAAAATGTAAAAACATAGTTAGTACCTAGATCTTTTAAGTGTCTAAATAAGGCCAAAACATTTCAGCCTATGTCAAAAAACAAAATGGCAACTACATACAGCAGGTTACCTATATAACCTTAATAGGAGGAAAAGGTACTGAGGAGAGCCTTGTTGATGGCAATAAAATTGTACTGTCTTATAAATTAAGAAAATTTGTCCAAGGTCTAATGTTGAAAATCCAAAGTGTTATTTGTTTGTCAATATTGATGAGAAAATAATTATGCTGTATTATTGAACTTATGGTAAAGAACATCAGACAAAGAATATAGTTCTGGCTCTACCACTTACTTCTTAATACCTCCTTAAAGCTCTTCTCTTGCGGATAACCCAATTCATGTGATTTTGGGGAGAATTAGATAAGGTTTGATATATGAAAGCACTCCAAAAAAAAAAAGGTTTAAGGAAATGTACAATAGCACTACAGCTCAAAATGAAACCAAAAACTCTTCAGTGAAATATGACCTTAAGAAATCTAGTAGTTCAATTATTCTATTAAAAAAGCATCCCAAATTTATTTACTAAATTTCCCAAATAATTACACAAAGAGTTCTTCTGAGGCTATAAATATATATATCAAAGTATTTAATTATTAAAAGTAACAGCTACGGTGTCCAACAGCATAACGGCCTGAATGAAACAGCATACCTTACAATATAATATACATCCATGGTACACGGATGTTTTCATTTGAATTTAATCTAATCAAATATATTGATTAGAATATACAATAAGTAGGCTAATTTTATTTCTCCTTTGTTTCTTCTACAACTTACAACTTACACATGGAACCTGTTACTGGCATTTGAAGAAAAAGATTTGTACTCCTTTCTTTCTAATGGTAGAGGCAAACTGGTTAATACCTGAGAAGCTGAGCTGTCAGAAACACCTGCGTGAGAGTCCTCAGGAGGGCCAACAGAACCATGAGCAGTTAGTGAAACATTCCCTCCCAGAAATTCATCCCCTCGAACTGAATGAATAAGATCATTCAAATATTTATAATAAAGATTGCTGGACAAAAAGCCAGGCAAAAACACCTGAAAGAAAGGACAAACATTATTTTAAAGCTGAAATCAAATACAACTAAAACTTTATTCTAAAACAAAATTTTACCTGCAATTCTACTAACTGGCACAAATGATTTTACTTCTCCTTGTTACACTCTAAGTATTATCCTTTTACATATAGATTATACTGTAACTAAAATTATGTGTCCAATTTATAGTTTTCTTTTCCCCAAAACACTTGCCAAGAAACTATTACAAACTTGATAGACCTCTTAGTGACCAGAAAACAGTCCAGGGAGCGGCTATATATTGAAACTAGATTTTTTTGGTTTGCTATAAATATTAAAGTTTTTGTGTATATATTGATTTTAACTTTTGAACTGATTTCCTTATGATAAATTATCAGGAGTGTGATTACTGAGTTAAACAGTATGAACATTTTAGCTTTCATATATATGGCCAATTTACCCTTCTGAAGGATGTTGTCAATTTGTGCCACTAGCAATGTAGACTGTTTTGACACAAGTTTTCCAACACCGGGTTGTGTTTTTTCAAATTATTTTTAAATAAATGCCTAATGGTACAGGGATGTTTTCATGTGAATTTAAAAATTATTAATGATGCTGAATAAGTTCTCATGTTAATTAATGACATACACTATTACAGACTTTTCCTTCATAGCACTTAGCACAATTGTGAATAATTGTGTTTAATATGTGCCTTCTTTATAGACAAAGCTCCAGGATGGCAGAAACCATGTTTGTTTTGTTTATCACTCTAACACCAATACCTAGCACAAAAATATTCAAAGTATTGGTAAACAAATCATCTATGTCTTTTCCCCATTTATCTACTTGATAGTATTCTTAAAAATTAGTATAAATTCTTTACATATGTACATTTAGTAAGAAATATTTTTAGATTTTGTTTTTCTCTGTATTTTAATTTTCTTTATTACCCAGGAAGTATACATTCTTTATATGATACAGATCTGGAACTTTTCCTTTAAGATTAGAAAGGTTTTAATTTTAAACATAAAAAAATTATGCCTAGGCAATAGCTGATACTCTACTGAGTTTACCACTAGCTTTTTAATTATCTGATTTTTATATGTAACTCTTCCATATTCCTGGAATTCAGTTTCTGTGTGTGGTATTATATAACAGTGCTTACTTAACCCTTTTCCACCTAGATACATATGACATATATAAGCAACATAACCTCATGGGCTTATCCTAGGCTCTGTGCAATGCCTGGAAAAATCTGTTCTAGTTCATTAAAAGAATAAATCATTCACAAATTCTAATACTTTATTATTAATAAGATATTAGTGATATCCTAATAAGTGATCATGATACTATACAAAACAAATGCTCCAACCCCGTTGAGGGATATTAGTGAACTACTTAAATTATTCCTAAGCTAACTTTGCCCAATACTACTATCTAATTATTAAGCACTTTATATATTTTACCTCATTTGTATCCTCAAAATAACTGTAAGGTAAATATACATATAATCCCCATTTTACAGATGAGAAAAATGGCATTAAAAAATTTCAGTCACTGCCTGAGGTCACTTAGCCTATAAAGGTTAAAATTAATACATACCAAGCCAGACTCAAAGACTCTGCTCTTAATCGCTATGCTGTACTTTTTCAATTTTCCACTGCTCTATTACATTTGTTTTTTCCCATGGTACATTTGCTGGGTTCCACCAGTAAAAACTTCTCGTAGTTTAATAGTTTTGGAGTTTTGGTTACCTTCTCCATGGTTGTCCAGGCCTGACGTAATGGAGTTGTAAAACAGTTAGGGAGTGGCCCACCTTCCCTGCAGATATTGGATTCAATTTCTAATCTTACAATATCATCAAATCCAAGAGAATGTGTGGCCTGCAGGGAGAAGTACCTATGGTAGAAAGATAGCCAAAGTAAAACCAAATTCCACAGCAAGTATAAGCAACTTCCAGCACCTACACCAGAGAATATTCTATGAGGGTACTTGATTCAGCCTGCAGACCTATGGAACTGGGTGATGACAGCCCTGCTGCAATCTTTATTCCTATCACCCCAAAGATATCTGAATCAATCTGCTACCTCCCTATCTGCCTTCCATCATCCTTAGTTCTTGTTTAAGATTTTTGAGGGTCAGGCTACGACTGAGGCAAAGAAATCAATCACACATATTTAATGGGCATCTATTCTCTGTTCAGCACTTGGTAGAAAGAAATGGATTTAAAAGAGGTTACCCTTTTAAATGGTCCTTTCCCTTAAAAAGTGAACAGAAAAGATCCCTGCACAGGATACAATGAGAACACACCATTATAACTATGAGGCATATGTAATATACATGTAGGAATTCAAAACAAAAGAGCACTGAGGGTGCAATAGATGGATTTGATGTATTTAGATAGAATAAATCTTGCTGATGATTTGGAATGAAAAGGAAAAGGAGTAATCAATGACAACTCAAAAGATTTTTATCTTCATAGGATATAATGCAACTAGTGTTTTAGTAAGCTACTTATAAATGGATACTTTAACAAAAACATTAAAGAAGAAAAACATATATATGTTCTTTTCCAAGCATTCTAGTGGCTTCTAATTTCTATAAATGATACAAATACAGAAAGGCTGATGAAGCATGACTGTGCTGATGCATACATAAGATATAAAAACAAACAAGCAGGGTTTGACTGGTAAAGGCAAATTTAGCACAATGAACTTGTCAAAATGACATGCCAGTGGGATGCTATACAGTAGTCTTCATTTAGAAATGGCTCCCAATATGAAAATGGGAAAAAAGGGTCTCTGCTCTGTGTGGTTACTGAGCTCCAGCCAGGACCTTACTAGTGCTACTCTTCTGTTACAGCATAAAGAAAACGTCCTTTTTTTTTTTGTTATCAGTGTTTTCTTAACAAAATGTGAGTCGTCTATCTAATAACAAATGAGTTGGTAAATATTCCTTCATAATTTGAATTTTTGGGCACCCCAGACCAAACTTCTAAATGTAAACACCTTCTATTTTAATATCTACATAACAATGTTTCTTATATAATATTTCCCACAAATATACTAAAATAAACACTAGTTAAAATTGAGAATTGCACTCCAGTCCAAGTTCTACAACTAAACTGCCCTGTGATTTTGAGAAAGTCACTGCCTCTCTAGGCCTTAGTTTTTTTTTTACCTGGAAGACAGAAAAACCTGGAAGACTAGATCCCTGAACTATTCATCAAAATCATCTGGGGTATTTTCTAAAAATAAAGATTCCTGGATCACACCTCAAACCTCCAGAATCTCTTAGGAGGACTGGAAACCTATTTTTATTAAGTTCCCAGTTGATTCTTATGCAGACAGCCTAATATGAGCCTGCAATGTTCAGGAACCACTGATCTACATGCTTTTAGCTCTCTTCCAACTCTAACATCCCTGGATTTTTCTCTATCCTCAAGTCATCCTCTTAGCGCTTGCTTGTGGATACAACTAACACATTACTTTTCTTTACAGAGTAAAAAAAGTTAAAAGAAAAGAAGGAACATCATGTGTTATGGAGCTGGCCACAGCTTTATCGCTTGTCTGATGTTTTCAATTCTGTTCACTTTAAGATTTTGCTACCCTCTCATTTTCGGTAATGACCAATGAAAAACTATTATTCATTGAGTAGTTAATCTGACTAAGCAGATTTGCACCAGAAAATAGAAAACACCCATTCAAAGACATTCAGGACCCTTTTCAATGAGTTTTATCTTCCTCCTATATTCCCTACCAAAGTTTCAAATACCCAAACTCAAGTTTTTGAAAGTACCACATTCCCCCAAGTTTCTGTGACTTTGCTTGTGTCCCTGCATTTGGTTAAAATGTTCTTTTCCACCTTCTCTGGCTAGCAAATTTCAATTCATTCTTTAGGATCCAATTTAAATCTTTCTTCTGTGAAACCCTTCCTGAACTCTACAATCATCACCATCTTACCTCCCATACACAAACCTCCCCCATCCCCAGCAGAAAGTCTTGTTCTAAGGACCCCTAAAACTTTACATATACCATATGAAAAAAGCAGCTTTTATGCTGCTCCCTGTGAGCTCCTCAAAAGCAGAGACTAAGTTTAATCATTGTTATTTCCAAAGTAAATATCAAATACTCAATAAATATTTGCTGCGTTGAATACATCTATCAATAAAACTCACTTGTCATATAAAATCATGGCATCGTTCTGTGCCTCCTGTCCATCATACTGGCCCTTTTTGGCAGCAAGCTGAGACTGGAAGTTATCTGCTGCCAGCCAGAACTGTAAGATATTCACTGCATCCTCTTTTTCCATGTACTAGAAGGAAAAATACAAGAGGAAAATAAGACTATAAACACATTTCTCTCATCATCCCTAATTTTTTTTTTAATGCCTACAGCATCTTGTATTCCTAGTTGGTCTCCCATCCAAGAACTAACCAGGCCCAACCCTGCTTAGCTTCTGAGATCAGACGAGATAGGGCATGTTTAGGGTGGCATGGCTGTAGACTCATCATCCTTAATTTATAAGCCCTAACTGTTAAACACGAATGGTACTGGTCCGTGGCCTGTTAGAAACCAGGTCGCACAGCAGGTGAGTGGCAGACAAGCAAGCGAAACTTCATTTGTATTTGCAGCTGCTCCCCAGGACTAGCATCACTGCCTCAGCTCCGCCTCAGATCATCAGGCATTAGATTCTCATAGGAGTACCAGTCTCTGGTGACAAAAAGGTTGGAGACCGCAGACCTAACAGATTCACTTGTTCAGTTAATTCCAGTCAACAACTTATAGTCATTTGAGATTGAAACGTTTAAAAACATTCAGTGAGAGGGGAAAAAACAACTAACAAAAAAACCACCACCACACAGCTAGATGCAAACTTTAGTGAACTGGAATAAAAATTACATTAAAGATGGATTAGCGGTTCCTCACTGTCAAATATACAAAGAGTAAAGTAACGAGACCAAGTCTTTTATACCTGATCATTTCCATCAATACATGCAGCCATAGTAACCTGAACAAATGCTGTCTTAAACTTATGGCAAAGAGAGGGAGTGAAAAAATAAATCAACTGAACTGTATTCTTATAAAGAGACAGAACACAAGTGTGTATTGAAATTACTGCTTTGTGAGACTGGGAATCTTCTTATTTCTGCTTTGTAATCACTTGCTTTGCAAAAAAGAATTTCATTTGCTGAAGCTTACGAATACCATTATATTAAAATGTATGTCTCAAAGAGATCAATATACTCAGTGCTTACCGCGAATGCTTTACTGGGCAAGCCTATGAAGTAGCTAAAGCAAAAGTAATGATAGTATAAAACATTTATTACTTTTCTCTCTCTCTTCTAAAGTCTAATCTCCAAATATTTGAGCACTGGAATTACATATTAAATTCTGTGGTTTTAAAACTTCTGAATAATTAAAAATGTGCATTCTTTTAATTAGGTTTTTCAAAATTAGAGTTTACATTGAATTTTCATGTTCTCTAATCTAATAAGTCATTAAAGTACTCTTTCCATTTACATGCAACTTAAAACAATAATTTATTTGAAATAAATTATTTAAATAAAATTATTTAAATCCTCAATCTTTTTGGAAGTGATTTGTCTCTTCTATGTTATTTCCTATAGACAGAGCCCGAGCATTTATAGTTTAGAGGCTGAAATGCTCTTAAAGAATATGAAAAGAAATACAGACTTTACCTCAGAGAAATAAAAGAGGGCTGACTCACAGAAGAGAATGTCAGCCAGGTAAACAGTACCACTGGTCAGCACTTCAATCTGGTATTTACAGAAATGGTGACTTCGCAGAAACTCACTAAAGTGC